GAATGGATTTTGATCTTTTCTATGTATCGCTCCATCATTCAAAAGGAATATATCTTTAATAAATTGCTATAAATAAGAGCAAATTATTTGTAAAAGTCTTTGAATGTTAGAAATGTCAAATATCGATGTTTTATAATTTGCATTTAATTATGAAAGTTACTCGAGCGTGAAACCACAGTCGCATAGCAACGAAAGAGTTGATGACACAGAAAGTCACTAGTAAAACAACTTGACTCGAGTTACACGCGCGCATACGGTTAGCCATTTTGGAACGAATGGTTTGAAAAAAACAAAAATCACAAACGTTTGCGGGTAGAAGACGTCGTCAAGATGGCAACAACTAATCTACCAGCGATTCAACACCCGCTTTCGAGAATGGATGACCCGACAAGTTTAAACGTGAGAGGTTTATCACGAGACGGCTCGCGTGCAGCTTCCCGGCAAAGTTTGACTTTCGGGCAAGATAAATTCAACGCTTTACGCCCCATAACTGCAGATCAAGTACCTTGGAGACTTACGCGATCCTCGAACGGTTTTGGTGGGCAAAATAGTCCAAGAAATAATGGTTTTGCGGCCATGGGACAAATTCCAGAAGGTGTCGAAGTCAAGCTAGCTGAAGACCCGAGCAAGCCAAGCATACCGATTTTCGGTGAGTGCGTTGACCTTCCTTTTATCTTTTTTCTAGTTAAGTGGTTTAATTTATTGCTCTAGGATAGATGCAGCTCGAGTCTTCTTTTCCAGATGGATTTTATCGGATAACGGTATTGTTGTTAGAAACGTAGAACCTAATTACGTCTTCCATCCTCACGCTAGCTATTAACTAGATCTATTAACACTAAACTTGCTACTATTTTCTCATTATTTTATGTATGTGAAAATTTGCACTTCAATAGCTTTTCGATGACATTTCACTCATTTTTTTGAAAAGTATCCTATATACTTAATAATCGGGGATATTTCTTTGTGTATGCTTTATCTAAACTGCCTAGAGACCGCGACAAGCCATATGTTTTATGATACACTGCATTGAAAAGGCGAATGACTAAATATAAATTTTTAATCTGAGGTTTCTACCGGATGTTTCTTCCCAAAACATCTGCTTCAAGCAGCTGTTATTAGAGACATTAGCATTTATATCTTTTTGGCGAGCAAACTAATGTAAACAAAAGCTATTTTTCCAGACAATGTTTGATATAGTTTGCATATAAAATAATATATTATTTGTTTACTAATAACATTGTTCAATAGTAAGTTATTTGTTTTAACTTTTATGTATTTATTTTTAGCTCGCATTTGATTATAGTTACATAGATATTTGCACATTATATATTTTACAGTCAAACCAGGTCAAGCGTTCCCGTCGCTAACAAACTAATGAATTCATTAATGGCAAAATGATTTCGTTTGTTGATTCAATAATCCATTCATAAAATGAATAATCCAACGGTCAAATTGTACCTCGATTCAATAATCAAATGTTGATTTGGTTTATGAACAAAATCTACCTGTTCTTTATTCTTGTCTGTTGTGTTCAATCGTATTTGCTTCCCTTTTCCTGCCGTTTACGATTGCGTTTTTCATTGCCTTTAATCAAAATAACAGCTAGAATAGACAGACCGCAAACGCAAAGAAACTGACAAAGGCCGAGGATCAAAATCCACCAATCACCGCACATACACTGACCTCAGTTTGACCATCGTGTTTTCTAAGAGGTCAGGCCTAGGTCTGTTGCACTGATTATTGGCAGCAAACTGGCGTACATGTAACAGTTTGTTTGGGTTTGAACTTCAGAACTCGCCAGCACTCAACTCTCAGAAAAAAAAGAGGAAAAAACAAAATTCTGAGGTCAACTTGTGGAAAGTGTAATTTTTCAAAAAACAGTAATCGAATCAACATTCGATTATGGAATCGAGGCTAAATATGACTATTGGATTGTTCATTTTATGAATGGATTATTGAATCAACAAACGAAATCATTTTTCCGTGAATGAATTCATTAGTTCGTTAGCGACGGGAACGCTTGACCTGGTTTGACTGTAAAATTATTATTATTGTTATTATTAATAATATTATTATTATTACAGCTTTGTGTTGAAGTAAATAGTTTAGGTTACCTCTAAATTACTATAATGATTGTATAATGTTTCCAAATTTATTAGTGAGCTTTAATGCAACTGAATCGCTGTTGTACATTCTAGGGAGTCGTGCTGACATGGCTAGCCGTGCAGAGAGCCGCCTGTCTCGACTAAACAGTGCTGCGTCATCCTTGCAGGGGCCTGACAAAGCAACAGTTGATGAGGTATGTTGTCACTTCTGCCCAACTATTGCATTTCACAGGAAATTTGACTTTCATTAGTCAAATCAAAGGGGATGTACAAGGCTGTGCTCTAAGGAAAATTGATGGGAGCCCACTGCTCTGAAACAGTAAAATCTAGGGTGCCCAGCATATGAGTTATATGAAAAATCTGTGATTTTCTAGTTGCCCGAGGGCAAAAGTTGGGCGCCAGGGGCCACCGGGCTCTGCTAGAGCACAGCCCTGATGTAAAAAAACCCACACTATTGTTTGAAAAGAGTAGGGAAAGTTTCCTTCGTGTGGTCTACATTTCACATGTCATTCATATCGTGGGCTATGAGTGGGTTACAGTGAGCTCATAAATGGACTGATAGTGGCTGCCCTTGGCACCCTTGTATGCTGATGTCTGCGCGTACTGTTAACATGTTGTATGTAATGTAAAGAGGGTGCATCTTGTTGTCCTCTAATGCACGACATTCCATTCCACATATTTCCAAGAAAATAGTTATGTTGACAAGGCAATGAATGTTATGGTTCTATAGAAATCAATTTAATGAGGCAAGCCTGAGGGAGAACCCGTCTTTCTAAAGAAATGACTAGCAGTATATTGAAAACAAATTAACATTTGAAAGGAAGATTGTGAATGAAAGAGGAAGGTGATTGACCATTATTTTGCAAGTTGCCCAAAACCTCTTTCTCAAGATGAGGCTGTGTGTGAAGCCTCTGATATGAAAATATTTTTTCTGTTATAATGCTAATACATTTCATTATGTAAAAGGTTTTAAACTTAGGGTCTGTTTATATGGAGTGGGGGACCCCAGTCTAGTGGGGTTGGTTTCTTTTGTTTTCACGCTCTGGGGGACACAAAACAAAAGAAACTTACCCCACTAGACCGGGGTCCCCCACTCCATGTAAACAGGGTCTTAGTCTTGGAACTTAGTAATGGTACATTGTAATGAATTAATTCTGCACAGGGTACCCATACTGTTGATATCCTGTGTTTGCATGACTAATATGGGCATCCCACATTGGTATGTGCTCTGTGGCACATTCTACTAGTTGTGAGACAACTGACATGTCGTCTGACAAACGTTTGGCCAAATTGTCAATATTGATCCTGTAAGGCTACCATAGACATCAACATAACCTGGATGTAATCAACCCTGGGAAATGACAAAATGTTAAATGGGATTCAAGTTTTTGACCCAATCCAGCTTTTTTTCACATTATTTAGACTAGTAGCATTGATTTGGATTATAAACAACTTTAAGGGTGGGACATAAACCAGGTAAAAATCCTGTCAGCAGCAGACTGTGCTCATTTTAGCAGGCAAGATGTGGATGTCATTTGTTACTGAGTTAATTTTTGGAGTCAGGATGAAGCAAATGAAAAAAATACACTCTCAGAGAATAAGGCTGTTATGGAAGAAAATGAATATTAGGAGCATGGATAAAACTGATATGAAACCAGAGGTCACTTTAATTAAACTTTGACATGTGACCAGCATGGCTATTGTTGTCAAACTCTATAAAAAATAGCTACACTTAAAATTTACACTTGTACAATATACACTAAAATTGACCCTTGTGGCTTCATGGGCTATTGACTCAGAGCCCATTCAAGCTAGAGGAATAACTGTTAAATATACTAGTATAACGTTTTTTTTTTTCGCCTCATTTATAAACACAAGACTTCTTGATGTACCCCTTGTACAATTCTGTTCTTTAAATTAAGCGACATTAAGTACATCCTCAAGCAACTCTAAAATTTTCCAAGAAAATTAATGTCATTGCACCCCATTTTTGATGTACTGTTTAAAACACAAGTAGGCGTGTATTATCAGCTTTAAATACTCGAGGCATAGCCGAAAGTTTATAAACGTGATTACTACTGCAAGTTTTTTGAATGGCTTCAAAATCTCTGAGATAGGTCAACTCATTCTTGCACTAATATTTAGATTTGGGGTTATTTTGATCTAAATAATGGCAAAAAGGTTAACTGTGTCTTTATCAGATATAAAGACACTCATTAAAAATTAATTTCTTTTGTTTTTTTTGAATTGTTAATGAGTTTTTGAAGTTATGAATTATTATAGATGATTTGTGTTATGTTGTTACATACAATTCCATACCCTTAATAATCTTTAATATTTGTTTCTTTTTTAGATTGAATTTCTTTTACGTGAGAAGATGAAAACTGCATATTATATGATAAAGAACACATTTAAAGAGTTTGACCCAGAAGGGAAAGGAGTTGTTGGCAGGTATATGGTCATATATAGCTCTAATAAAGTGAATGAATACTATCCTGCAGAATACATCAGGGCACTGTTGAAACTTGTACTATTGGAAAAATAAATAAAGAAGACTAAAATTAATATACATGCATACAGGCAGTCCCTTCATTATTCCAAATAAATTAACATTTTTATGTTTTCCTGTTAATCAATAGGATAATTTTAGATTGTATCATGCAGCTGAGAGACTCTTGGATATTTTTTTATTCCATTATACAGCTTGGGGTTATTTGTTTATGACATTCACATTTATTCCAGCTTCCTGGTTTACACAATTTTGCTGTATTACAAGGTGTGAAAAGAGTAAAAAAAGATGTCCGTAAGGGGAAGTCCTTAATTGCCTGTTATTATTTGTTTTGAAAATACTACAACATCTTAAAAGAAGTCCTTTGAATGTCTGTTAGCTTCAAGCAACTGGAGAGTGGTTTAAAAACTGGAGAACATGTTCTCTGAATGGTTTTCTGGTGTATAGAGTTACGTTCATGCATATATATTATTACTTCTTTTTCCCCCTCTATCACACAGGGAAACGTTGGCAAGGATTTTGCAAAATTTTTTGTCAAGGTCTATTAGTTTGAGTCAATTTAACAAGTTAATGGTTCGGTAAGTTAAAAAGATCTAAACCTTAATTAGTCTCATCCTTTTATTCCTTATGATAAAACGATAAACTTTAGTTTTTAAGTCCCCTTGTGTCACGTGGAGCACCTCCATCATATGCTCTGCATTAAGACACATGTTCAATTTGCACACTCCATGGTAATGACAGGGGTAATACATGTAATGTTTGAAGATCACTTCCTGGATGATCACTTCAGCATTGTCAGATACAGAATGTCTAAGGTTTGCTGAAGAATTCGGGTTTTGTCTGACATACTACAGAATCTGTTTTTTAAAAAATCAAAGATTTATTGCTATAGTAATAAATATGTGAAATTCTTTCTTTCAGATTAAAGCTTGACCATAAGAAGATGATATCATATGATGAGTTTTATGCCTCTTTTAGGCCTCCAAAGGTGAGATATAAAACAATCCTTTAATAATAGATTATTAAATTTGAGGAGTGGAGATTAAATTTAGAGGATGGGCTGAAATCTACTGTTGTTTTCACAAATATAGTTTATTTTGTTACGTTTGTAGAGGTTTAAATGATACAGTCATACCTCCAATAAATACCAAAAACAAAAACAGAAATAGTGTGTAAATGAGTGGCAGTCGCTCATGGAGTTGTTCAATTCCGATGGGCTCTTATCTAATCTGTATATTTGGTCTATGGATAAATAAAGTGAACTAAGTCTGGGGACTCAGGGCAAGGAGGCAAGGAGAAAAGATGTTTGTATTAGGTTTAATACCACCATTCAGTGTTTGGAAAACGTTGAGCAGCAGCCGGCCATATAGCCCCAGCCAAGTACAAAATACCATAGTTTAAACCTTTCGTAAGTGACCATTTCCTGCAAGTGTCCTCTGGAACTTGGTATTTTGGGTTGCTTACAGGAAACTTTACAGTAATACCCCGGTATATGCTTAAAGCAGTGTCTTGGATCGGCGGTTTGTCTGTTGTATCATTGCAGTAGAGGTTCCTTTTTGACAGCTGGCAGCAAAGCAAAGTTTGATGAACTTTAACAACATTTGATGTTGAATTCTTCTATTCCTGTTTTTAGAAAGCTGATGAAGGACCTGCTTGGCTGGAACTAGAGAAGCCAGAGTTAAAATGTATGTCAGCTGCCCAAGTTCATGCACACCTGAAAGAAAAGGCCAAGCAGAGGTAGTTGGTTATTTCTGATACTGCATACATGTAGGACCATGGATTTCGTAATCATTAGCTACTCATAAACCTGTGTGGCGAAGTCAATAGCACTGTACTTTTTGTGAGATGAACAATTCCAATTTGGGCCAATCCAAATTGACCCGTTCTCCTGGTGGTTTTGATTTAAACGTTTAATTTACCTTAAGCTAAAACCAATCGGAAATATTATAAAAAATATTATAACATACATTGATAACTTGTGAATGATTGTGTTCTGGATACGAAAGGCATTCCAGAGTCGAAATTCCAAGCTACAGTTGTTTTTGTGCATGACATTTCCCTTAAGAAAGATCCTCTTGTCAAGAATAGGGTTTTCTGCGTGGAACATCTCTCTTGACTTGTGCTGTTTGAGTTGTACTGCTAGTTAGGCTAGAAAAGTTATTAATAAGCTTGCTCTGGTTGTTGTGTTTGCTTGTTTTGTTGTTTTTGTTGTTTAGTGGGGCCTTGAATTACTTAGAACTGTCTTGAGTTTACTGACCGACCTCACGGCATGCAGGAAATCTTTGCCCATTCACGAATTAAAGCCAAACGTAGAATTCATTATTAAAACATTTAAAGTTGATTTGCTATGAAAGGCCATTTCTAAACATAGTGGGAAAAACAAGGCAACCAAGAAAGATAGAGCTGAATGCAACGAGCACTAAAATTTCGCATGTTTCGGTTTTAGGTTTCTAGATGTTGCAGATCTGATTCCGCAAATGAATCCAGGTGGTTCAGGAAGGATTCTTAAACCGGAGCTTAGAAACGTTCTTAACAAGATGGGGTTTTATATGGAGGACGATGAATTTGAAAAACTTTGGCTTAAATACGACACCGAGAACTATGGAACGATCCGGGCTGAGAGACTCATGAGCAAACTTGGTATTGCCATGCGAGACGGCAGCAGTAGAGATGAGGCTAGCTCTCCCAAGAAACTTGAAGTTGAAAGAAAACAGTCGCTTGATGTAGAAAGATGGCTAAAGAGGAAATTTCGCGAAGGATTTTCGGATATGAAACACGCATTCATGGAGTTAGATTTAGACCGGATTGGTAAAGTTAGTCGAGATGAATTCAGGCGCGTTATGGAAGATTTTGGGCTGAGGCTGAGCACTGACAAACAGCTGGATGATTTTCTTGCCAGGTAAATGCTAATCAAATTATACACGCGACGGTTGTGTAAAAGCTGGATAGCGCTGCAACGGATAAATCACAATCCAGCGGATATGCAGTAAGGAAACCAATTGCGTTATCCACTGTATAGATATATATTGAGTGGACAGTGTTATCCAGCCATTAGACGGCAAAACAGTCGGGTTTTTTCTCAGAATCAGTTTAGCGTAGCGTAATAGTATCGCGCGCCTCGCGCGCGCGAGCCTCACACCCCCTCCGTTTTCAGCTTCGCTCCAGTCCTTTTGTTTGACTGTTCGAGCGTTCTTGAATACCCAAAAATACGGACTGTTTTGCAATCTAGAACAACTGGGGTCAGATGGATGAAACCAAAGGGTTAGTTTCTATGGGGACTGTGCTGTTGCGTCGGTAGGGGAGTGAAATACAAGGATTTTGTTTTACCAATTTTGTTGATAAGGTAGATTGGTCACCGTAGGGGATAGGAAAGCTGACTTTTCGAGCACTAGCCCTTCGCCCGAGCGAGTAGCCCAGAATTAACAAACCTAATTTCACGTACAAGCAATGCATCTAATTTTTCGTCCCTTTGTGTTTGCGCATGTGTCAGCGTTCGCTTTTGCTTGACGCACAACAATCTTATGGATGGCAGTTACAATCAAACCTGTATTAACCGGCCACCCCTAGGGAATGGTTTACTGACCGCTTAATACAAGTTTACCGTTTAATGCATTTTTAACAAATTAAAGAGTTATTCAAGAAAATGAAGATGGTGAAGGACAAAATATCTATCCCGCGACCAAACTGGCCTCAAACTGTTTCTACCTCTACTGGTACCAAAAGAAAAAGAAAAAACCGTACCACTAAACGCCACACACAGTATAACTGCCGCATTAGTATGGTTGGGAAAGACAATTAAAAAACAACTCATTGGAACCTCGGAAAAGGTGACCGCGACCGCTCAATAGAAGTGACCGCTTAATACAGGCCAGTTTTAGAGTAATAAAGGGAAACTATTTTCGGGACTTTGGTAAGTGACCGCTTATTAGAGGGTGACTGCTTAATGCAGATCCGCCTAATACAAGTTTGACTGTATACGTGAAAGGATGTTTTCTCGTTCTCTCTTTAAGTATGATTTGATGTTTTTTCTCACAGGTGCGGCATTGAAGGATCCAACGGCAAGATTTCTTATAAAGAGTTTCTCCGTCGATTTCAGGACCGAAGCGAGCAAGGAATGGCGCATAAAATTTTAGCCAATCCACTACACAGGTATTGTTGACTCTGTCCAATTTTAAGTCTCTTTTATTGGGGGCGAAGCAAGGGTCTACGAAAATTTTCAGACCATCCACTTCTTTCGTTTTATCGTTTTTAATCGAAAACTGTACAAAATTCCCTTGAAACTGAAATAATACTTACCTTCCCTGTGGGAAAAGAAAACAGCTTTGTATATACTTATACTTTGTTTCATTTTCTAAGGTATCACCATAGTGACGCTGGAAGTAACTACTCGACCACTTCAGCGGTAGAGGCCAGAATAATGGACTTATTTCAGAAAGACTTTCTGGCCCTTTTGGGTACATTTCAGTAAGTATTGTCTGTTTTTTGGTGGTGGTGTCAATCAAACTTTTACGATTTATTGGGCTGGTAATGATCTACCCCCAGAAATTATTATTCTGGTCCTGGTTGCTCAAACATTGGATAACGCTATCTACTGGACATGACTGGATAAATCACTATCCAGCAGATATGAATTATAGGGAAGCTATTTGCGTTATAGAGAATTATCCGGTAGATAGCGTTATCCGCCTTTCGAACTTTCTCCGTTGGCTGCTTTTTTTTAGTCAAGTTTTCTCTTATTGTGGTTCAAGACCGATTTGTTCGGAATCCACAGTCGTGCCAACTCATATAGTTCATTTACAGTTAACCCAAGAATGAAACGTACAGGGCCTCGAACAAGCTTTTATCGTTTTTTAGGTAATCGAGCGAAACGCAAGAGATGCCCTAGCTTCATTGAGGCGCCTCGCGGCTCGCCACTTGCGCGCGTTTAGCGCGACTCCAATAACCCTTGAACTGCACAAAGGCTACGAACAACTCGGCCCAGGTTTTAGTTTTACTGTTAGTTGGCTGCAAAGTTTTAACTCTTTCATTTTGTCCAATGATAAATTTGGAGTGATATTAATCCAATATAATTAATTGCCTTTATTTGCAGCAACATTGACCGAAAAGATTCTGGTCTTCTCACGCAACAGCAGTTCCGCGCGGCTGTGGAAGGAAGGTTTGAATTGAACATGAGTGATCAGGAATTCGAGGCGTTTCTGAAGAAAGTTCCGATTGATAATGACGGCATGGTGAAATACGTCGAGTTCATGTCCAAGTTTGACACTTTGTGAGTATTGGGTATCCCTGTTGATAGCTTTTTCTTAACTACCTGTCCCCGTATCCAAAAATTTGGGTAGTCTGCCTCTTACCCCGGAGAAACGGCTGGGCTACAGGCTTGAAAGATGATGCCATTACCACTTTTAGGAGAAAATAAACGCACTGAGAATCAGTGTATTAAGCTTGAAAGTACTAATCTCGGACACAATTTTCACGTGTCATATGAAAGGGGTGGCGATGCTCGTCGTCTCGCTTACGGGTGTAAATTTCGGATTTTTGTCTCACTTAGGGTGTTCTGGGCAAAACGCCATCATATTTAGCCGTGAAGGTCTCGTTTAGGGTTGCACGCGAAAAAATATAAAAATATATATTGTCTGTGTTTTAACATGGTCTCTTTTAAGGGTCAAAAAAAGCTTGGACCACGCCCAGATCGGTCTCCTTTAGGGGTTTAATTCAAAATTTCCGACGAGCATCCCCACCCTTTTCATATGCCGAGTCCCCCTCCCACCGCGGGCCGCGACCTCAGTCCCTCTCTGCCCGAGGGGACCTTCCTAGCGTATGCAAACGGCGATGTGCCGCAGGATGGGGTATATTTGATATAGTTTATAATATGTGGTCCCACATTTCGGGATATTAGTGGTAAGAAAGGATCTAAAAATGGGAAGATTTGTGGTTGAAAAAACAGGCAGTGACTAAGTTCGAATTGCATTTGCCAAAAAGAGACCAAGATGGGGTCCATAATTGGCCACAGAAGAGACTTTCATGGGGTAGGGCTTCTGATAGGCCATCGGCACATATCCAGCAAAAATTGATTCCAGTCCTCCCCCCCGGCTGCTCTGCAGTCAAGCGCTCTACCGACTGCGCTTGTCCTGCCATGGTTGAAATCATGGTCACGTTTAAGGCCAGAATATTCGTCTACCTTTACCCGTACATCTTAAGGTTTCCAATGTTAAATTTTTGTTCTGTATTTAAACAGTGAAACAAAAAGTCTGTTTGACCGGTCAAGCGTCATGGATCGTAGGGACACTCTTCCTCCATTACCGGAGAGAGACAGCCCACCAATGTCACCTAGGAAACAACTTCGACCTATCAAGACCATGGATTCGTATAACAGCCAGGAAGGGCGCAGTGTGGAGGAACTGAAAGTGATCATTAAGAAAGTACTCGAAAATAATTATCAGGCTTTTGAAGAGGTGAGCTAGCTAAAAGAGACTTTCAGTATCAGGTTTTTCTAGGAAACATGCAAACCGTTAACTGCAGTTTGCAGTTACGCGTTTGCAGTTTCACCTTGTCAGGGTTTCGATTTCAGGAAAGCGCTCGATGTTTAGTGCCGCCATGTTGTTATTCGTCAAGTCGCAGTGCTTCCCTTTTAATGCCCTTAAAACATGAGGAATTCATTCTTTTGAGTTCAAAAATCTAACCGGCACATCACAAGCGGGTGTAGAAACCTATCTCTTGCCTTTAAAGATAAGGCTAGCTGTACAATTTTTAGTGACAAAAAACCTTGCCGTAAATCACTTACCGCTGGAAGCTCCTCCCGCCGTTCAAACGCGTGAAGAACTGTAAACTGCAAACGCGACCGCAAGACCGTGGTCACGTGACATCCTTAGGTTTGCCGTTAACCATGAAAAACCGGATGCTCAAAGTCTCTAATACGGATGCAATTCGCTGAAGCCACTCTCTTGGACAACGGGAAAAAGCGCGCTTTCTCGAAAGTCCCGTGATTTTTTTTGTCCCAAGCCGTACTTTAAAATTAATTATGTAGTGCGCGTCCATGCTCACAAATTAATCTATTTTATTTAGTTTATAAACGGCTTTATTGTATTAAACATTTCAGTGTGTAAGAGGAGTTAATCATACAAATGTTAGTCTGTTCAGAGCTAGACCCTCTATTTTCTCTTTAGAGATTGTTGAGCGGGCGCGCGTATGAAAATGAACACCGTGGGTGTTTATTGGCCGCTAATGCAAGGGGGTTGGGGTGAGGAAAGGAGAAAATAGTTTCTTCATTTTTTTCTGGCGGTCGCTCTCACGCTTTCACTACGCTCACACGTTCGCCAAATTCGTCGGGAAAAAAAACACCAATTCGTCAAAAAGGAAAAACGTCTGTGAATAGGCTATACAAATGTGCATTTCATCATCCCTTCTAGAAAACTAGAAAGTTGTTTATGTACTAGAAATGTAAAATTGGCTTAATGCAGTATGTGGAAAACTTCAAGTAACGCGTGTCTGTTGTTTTCAGGCTTTCAACGAACTTGATGAACTCAACAGCAAGAGAATGACAAAAAATATGATGATTAAACTGCTGAAACAGTAAGGAGTTGGTTTACACCTTGTTACCTCTACCTATTACCACGAAGGGCTAGTTAAGAGCATGAAAAAAAAACGCTAGTGTTTGCGTAATTATATGCCTCATTTTATGGATGATTATAGTGTGACTTATCAATAAAAAGCATCTGAGCGTTTTAATTTCGCTGTACAAGTTTATTTTAACTCTTGAACGGTGTGTAGTTTTATCATTAGAGCATTAGGCACAAAAACTACGATGGCCCAGGAGGGTCACAGTCCAGTATTGGTTTTTGACAGTCCAGTTATGGTTTACACAGTCCAGTTATGGTTTTACACAGTCTAGTTTTAGTTTTTACACAGTCCAGTTTTAATTTTTACACAGTCCAGTTTTGTTTTTTTACACAGTCCAGTTTTATTTTTACACAGTCCAGTTTTAATTTTTACACGGTCCAGTTTTATTTTTATTACACAGTCCAGTTTTATTTTTACACAGTCCAGTTTTAATTTTTACACGGTCCAGTTTTATTTTTATTACACAGTCCAGTTTTATTTTTACACAGTCCAGTTTTAATTTTTACACAGTCCAGTTTTATTTTTTCACACAGTCCAGTTTTATTTTTACACAGTCCAGTTTTAATTTTTACACAGTCCAGTTTTATTTTTTCACACAGTCCAGTTTTATTTTTACACAGTCCAGTTTTATTTTTTACACAGTCCAGTTTTATTTTTTTACACAGTCCAGTTTTATTTTTACACAGTCCAGTTTTATTTTTTACACAGTCCAGTTTTATTTTTTTACACAGTCCAGTTTTATTTTTACACAGTCCAGTTTTATTTTTTACACAGTCCAGTTTTATTTTTTTACACAGTCCAGTTTTATTTTTTGTGTGGTTACCAGACCTCTCTCGCGCTACTGCAACACTTGTTATCTAACGGCAGCCATTTTGTATTTCCTTGCGACGATGGATTCAATCATCAGGCAGGCTGTTCGAGAGGAACTGAGACGTTCAAGTTCTAGTCGTCCAGAAACTGCGTCTTCTACTAATCAAGATGATCAGGGAAGAAGTGAAAACGAATCAGGTGCGGCTGGATCATCACGAAGTTCGTTTTCATCACGAACAGTGGGCCGTTTGGGGTGTTTCTAAAACGAAGACCCAAGACCCCGGGGAGGGGGGGTACTCCCTTATAAGGGCTTAATGGGGACGTGCGGCCAGCAAGGGTATGTTTTTCGGAATTTTTGTTTCAAACAGGGTATCGATTTTATCAATATTTGTCTTAAACAGGGTACCTTTTCTTGGACGATAAACAGCCTGCGCGTACGTTCTACGAATGTCTTAAACAGGGTATGAAAATGGGAATTCTGTCTTAAACAGTGTAGGAAAATCAGCGATTTTTGTCTTACACAGGGTCAGGGTATAAGAGGCCGGGTCGCACCTCCACACCCAAGGATATATCGAGTCCCCCGGGCTAAGACCTAAGACCCCGTGGACTAAAACGAAGACCCCTGTGGAATAAACCTTTAAGGCGATTTAGGAGGGTTGTGGAATTTCCTCTGCGCTATTTAATTGTAATAATGAAGTCTTTCACCCACCTTTTCTTCGATCGACGGCTAAGAAAATATAACCGCGTGCTCTAGCGTTCTAAAATGTCGAACAATTGTATCGATCAATACATTTACAAAACAAAATAACCGGCGTCGGGAGGAAATAACAACGAGACATTTAGCAATGATGAATTTAAGGAGAGGGGAACCTCGCGCTCTTTTTAATACTTTTACCTCATCAATAGAAAAAAAAGCTGTCGATCCAGAACATCACTCGACTAAAGGTGTACATTTCGAGTTTCAAGCAAGCAAGGTTCATTCATATACATACGGGGTTATATTTATATCCCTGTTACTTTATTCTGACCTCTATTGTAAAAAATGACTTATCTTTTACGGCTCAAGCAGTTGTCATAATGATAACAATACAAAAATGAAAGAAAAAAAAGGAAAGGAAAAGCACACTTCCGTTTAGCAAGATTCGATCCCGAGAGAACTTCCGATGTGGACGTTACCACAAGACTTCGAAAGCTTTCTCGAATGTACATGGTGTGAAAAATTTTTATTTAAACAAAACTGACGTCATCATCACCGTAAACACATCCAAAGTGTTTAGAGTTTTAGTCCAGGAGGTCTTAGGTCTTCGTTTTTGGGTCTTCGTTTTAGAAACATCGGCCCACTGTTCGTGATGAAAACGAACTTCGTGATGATCCAGCCGCACCTGATTCGTTTTCACTTCTTCCCTGATCATCTTGATTAGTAGAAGACGCAGTTTCTGGACGACTAGAACTTGAACGTCTCAGTTCCTCTCGAACAGCCTGCCTGATGATTGAATCCATCGTCGCAAGGAAATACAAAATGGCTGCCGTTAGATAACAAGTGTTGCAGTAGCGCGAGAGAGGTCTGGTAACCACACAAAAAATAAAACTGGACTGTGTAAAAAAAATAAAACTGGACTGTGTAAAAATTAAAACTGGACTGTGTAAAAATAAAACTGGACTGTGTGAAAAAATAAAACTGGACTGTGTAAAAATTAAAACTGGACTGTGTAAAAATAAAACTGGACTGTGTGAAAAAATAAAACTGGACTGTGTAAAAATTAAAACTGGACTGTGTAAAAATAAAACTGGACTGTGTGAAAAAATAAAACTGGACTGTGTAAAAATTAAAACTGGACTGTGTAAAAATAAAACTGGACTGTGTGAAAAAATAAAACTGGACTGTGTAAAAATTAAAACTGGACTGTGTAAAAATAAAACTGGACTGTGTAATAAAAATAAAACTGGACCGTGTAAAAATTAAAACTGGACTGTGTAAAAATAAAACTGGACTGTGTAAAAAAATAAAACTGGACTGTGTAAAAAAATAAAACTGGACTGTGTAAAAATTAAAACTGGACTGTGTAAAAACTAAAACTAGACTGTGTAAAACCATAACTGGACTGTGTAAAACCATAACTGGACTGTCAAAAACCAATACTGGACTGTGACCCTCCTGGGCCATCGTAAAAAACAGTGCAAATCTGTTGACCTTTTTTTTTTCATTCATCCTCTTGAAAATACCTTCAACTATTATAACGTGGCTTTACCTTTTCATTCTGTGACTATAGTTGTGTACTTACAAACAAATTCTGTTAGTTTTGGTAGATAAATGTTCGTATCAGCGAGACAGAATGATTTTCATCATGCACATAGTTCAAATGAAAATTGTTCTCTCTCGCTCATACGAACATTTAGCTACCAAAACTAACAGAATTTGTTCGTACGTTCTTAGTAAAGGATTTGCTAATGTTTTCTCGTATTTATTTTTCTCTGGCAGGTTTGGAGTAACTGTAACGCGTGATGAAGTGAAGCGACTCTGGGACACTAGAGAGCTTATTACAGATCAGAGGGGTTGCCTTGAATACTGGGAGTTCGTACGCACATTCGGCTATTCACTACGATCTGCAGGTATTTATCTTTTTATACAGGGTTTACTTTTCTGTTATAAAATTAAAACATGATCAATTTTCCGACTGAGAATAAGAATTCAAATAAGACATATTTGTCACATCTCTCAAGGGGTTTAGGATGTATAAGTTTCTTTTATGTCGAGTAATCGTGTTCACGAGAGAGAAGGGAAGTCAACGCCCCCATGAAAGCCATTGTTTAGCCCGTTTTAAGTTCAGATTCTGGGTGTTTAAAACTGTGGTTGGCTAGAATTAATTATGTTTTAATCACTAACATAGGGCCTTGTTTGAATTGGTAGAAATCGTCATCAGGCTAGTGTCAATATCTTTCGTCCTTTGAAAAAGTCTCGTCCTTCTTGTGTGCCCTTCGCGTTCTCGGACGGTTGACTTCCTTTTCAAACGCGTGCCTCGCAGGGCACGCCATGACTGGCGCGCTGTTGCTAGCGACGCAAGTCACGTGGTTTGGTATCTCCACAAAGCACGCTCCTGACCATCATGGTATGCTCCGCAGTTCGTGGAACATTTTATAACGAATAATGACATAATTGTGCGTTACTGTACTATCTAATTAATACAGCCATTTCATGAAATTCATAATTTATTGCTCTTCTTCAGCTTTCCCAAATGCTAAAGTTTCTCCACCCAAGAGAGGTGACAATGATTTCATGATGCGCTCGAACAAGCTGAACAGTGATAAGCATCTGTTACACCACCTGCTTAAATCAAATATCGACAAACACTGGGAGACACTCTGGAGTGAATTCACCTCTATTGACCATCAGGGAACTGGATGCGTATCTAGGAATGATTTTAAGGTAAGGTGACGTTTCTTGGTTTCATGTTAAGTTTCATATCCACGGAGGATATATAGGTCTTTTCTCGAGTCGCTCCAAACCTCTTTTTCATAACGAAGCTTAGGGCAAAGTCTTTGAAATGAAAATAATTTTCAGTTGTCACGCAGACGAAACTCGCATTTGCAGCTGGCCTCGTTTTGAAATTGAGGGTTTTGGAGACTCGGCAGTGACCTATTGGTTGAGTCCTGGACTTGGGAGAGGTAGACCCGGATTCAACACCCTGCTGAACCTACACAAATGCGCCACTAAGGGTCTTAAAAAACTGAGGAGAAAGTGCTATTTTTGTTCTTACATCTACAAGTGGTTATTTAAGATATTCTAGTTTTCTCGGATAAGGACGAAAAGCCATAAGCCCCGTATCACAGCACTTTCGCTGATCTATTGTAGCTGTTGTGGGCCGTAAAACATCCCACAGGGCTCTCCGTAAAGAGTAGGGAACGTACGCCCAAGTAGTGTGATAGCACTCTTAGTATCTTACAAACTGAATTAAGAGTACATCATAAAAGCATGAATGATTACTGCGCAACGGGATGCACTATAAAGAGTACTTTCAAATAGGCGTCAAAGCTACGTCACGGTATCATCAGAAACTTGAAAAATCTAGCCTTAGTATTTGAAGTTTGTCGTTTATTATCCATGTCAATCTCTTCCAAACTAAAACATCCTTAATCCTCTATAATTAATCCTTTCACCTTTTTGATGTACTTCTCCCCGACAAAATAATTTTGAGCTTTCTTTTGGCAGTTGTCATTACATACATTGCAAGGATATGATTAAAAATTACGTCACAGCTCAGCTCTTTGATAGCGTCGTCCGACGTTGAAAATAACAAATTAGCAAAAGCCCTTCCTCCAGCTGCAACCTACCCAATAAAAGACTGCAGACCACCCTGGCCAATGGTGTGGCACTAAATAAAGAGAGGACTTATGAAAGAGAAACGGCGAGAAGACGATATGCAAATCCACAGGCTCATCTCTCACAAACCCACTTATATCATGCCCATACTAATGTAGCCTGCGTGCAGATGATAACTAAACTCTGATTAGTACCGTCTGCGAAGCAGCGCAGAGATCCTTGTTCTGGACCCCCAACGGACTCAACGAATTACCGGAAGTGCGTTTCGAATTCCCCTTCAACCTGATTGGCGATCACGACAAACAAAACAAAGGGCTTTTTTAACTGGCCAATCGTGGCGCGTACTCAAATCTGGGTACACAGCTGGATGTCCAGAACAAGGATTTCGGCGCTGTTTCGCAGACGGAGTTAACCAGAGTTTAATTTCGTCTGCGCGCAGGCTAATACTAATGTAGTTGTGAATCGAATTTTGTCTTTCTTTCTTGCACACCTATAATTTATTTGATAATGCACCTTACTTTCGGCATAAAAATCTTATATGGTTCTCTTTCACAGAATATTTTGCAAGGTTTGTGCATGGAGTTAACAGATTACGAGACTCAAGTATTATGTGACAAATTTGACCCTGGAAAAGAGGGAAGGTGAGTTATGAAATAAGTGAAAATTTTGAGAACTCGTTTACTATTTAGCCTTACAAATGACTGATGATTCCAAATGTCTTCAACAGAGTAAACTATATAAAGTTTTTAGAACCATTCTCCAAACATCGAAGAGGTTTTCGACATGGACACAATATGCAAGCTGTTATGAAGCATCCTCAGGCTGAACTGGTAAGGAACAAGTACTGTGTTACAGCTCGAATTAAAGTATTGGTGACCCAAGGGAAATAGCGCTAAGAAAAAATAAACAGATCGACTTTATTTTCCAAAAGTAGAAAACCCTCAAAATTTACTTGTGTGCCGGTAAAATCCTAATCGTTGCTTTTCTCGATGAAAATAAAGTTTTACTTCTTTTTCGGTTTAGAAGTGTTGCTATGAAAACGACATAGTTTTCTATTCAAAATAAGAGTCAAAATCAACAAAAGTGTACATTATTTCCTCCGTTTCTTAGATATTATAATTTTTTGTTGTTGTTGCTGCTTGAGATTACCGAGACATAATCAGGAGTGGGTCAGGTTTTACGTGTTTCGTTTGTCAATAGATTTTCAATCAAGCTGGTCCTTTGGTCTGTTTCTGTTGATCAGTAAAGACCTTAAAATTAACGTCCTTGTTGGTCATCGTTCATGCAGAAGTCTATTTAGCGGCTCTGTTCAAATGTCGAACTTTTCATGTGCCGAACGTAATCCTTCAGTAAAGTACGTGGAAAGGTCTCCGTTTGAATCAATTTAGTCTGACATGTCTAATTTAAGTCGACAAATGAATTAACTTTGAGTGGCGTACATGAGAATTTCGACTACGGAGCATTGTACATAGTGAAAATGAAATTGAGTCCGACGTTTGAACTGGGCCCAAGTCTCGATCATACGTTTTAGTTTTTAAGTGATGCAAACGTTTCGGGTGAGGAATTCTTTGATTTGTTTACAGTGATGTCGTAAAAGCAAATTAATTTGTTTTAAGGTGTACAGATTCAAAGCAGTCTACTGCATGTCTGTATTAAAGCTTTAATAACGTATATCAACATGGTATCAATAATTGTTTGTTTCTTGGATAGCCTATGGATGATGTTGTTCAAAAACCCAACAAAGGATTGTCAACAGTTACAGCAAAACTAAGGGAAAAGGTACTAGTTACATGTTTATGTGGTGAATTTGCGCTATGAAGCTCCCTTACGAAACAATTTGTACCTGGTGACCAAGTTTTCCCTACATTTATAGTTAGCTGATTATTACTTCTACACTATCATAAATTATAGTTTCATGTTAGTTTTATCCATAGGGATGATCGTGGGCCGTTTTAAACTGACGTTTTCTAATTGAGAATGTTCAACAGTGTTCAAGCTAAAGATGCCATTAACGTGATTCTAAATTTCCTTTAATATTTTGTCAACACGAGCAGGAGTGTTTCTTCAGGTATCCGAACACCGAGAGGTGTCTCTTTTCGGTGTCTGCATATCAGATGAATATAGCACTGGGCAGAAGCATATAACCACGAATTCGGGGTTATATGCTTCTGCACTGGGTTATAAAAAAACAAGGCCCAGCCAAGTTGGGGTGTGTGATATGGTTTCTCAAATGTTCAGCAGTTCTTAAAAGAGGCTAAAAAACTCAAATTCGTTAAAATTGTACCACTCATCTGCCACAGTATATTGAAAATTCTTGTTGATTGTGACAATAAAAGCTTACATACTTTTCCAGTAGTAGTTCTAACTACAACTTTCTTAAGGGAATAAACCTTTCTACACGCCTATAGTCTGTATCACAGCCGTTTAGAAAGTCAAGAGAAAGCGAAAAATTAAATGAGGCCAAAAAATCGAGGGAAGACTGGGGCTCCCCTATTTTTGCTCCATTCTCCCTTCGTTTTTTCCCTGCGTTCTATTTTTCGCCCGCGTTCCACAATCTGAACGCCTATGACAAAGTAGTCTTTTTTAGGAAGTCCGTAGAAATGGCAAAACAGCTTTTTTGTTCGATCTTCTGTCTTTTAACGTTTTTTTTTTTCGCCTTATTTCTTTCAGTTGTCTGGAAAGTGGATTAATCTCATGCGTGCTTTTAAAAAGTTGGACAAAGATAACAGTGATTTTCTAACCCTCAAAGAATTCCGTCATGTGTTAGAGTTGTGTAACGTGGTGTTGGACGAAGAGGATATTTATCACATTTTAACGGAATTTGACGAAAACAAAGAAAAGAAAATCAGATACACGAAATTTTTAGACAAGATAAAATAATTTATAACCTGTACTACGAAAGTGTGTGTGACCACTGAAGAATCATTGAAGTCTACAAAGGCCATGAACATTGGATCGAAGTAATGCTTTTGAAGGCCTGAATCCTTGATCAAGCGCTCTTACGTTCCCGATATGAGGGTTTCTTAAAAGTATCCAAAATTGTTCTTAATACTAAAAAACAGAAGCGGCTGTCATCCCAAGCCTTGGAAACCCTAAAATAGAAGCTCCGCCACTCTGTTTAGCTTAAGGCTGGCCTCCATTGCTCAGAAGGACGTCGGACGTCATTTGAGGTTTACACTGTGTATGAGCGATCAATTAGTAGCTTTTAATTGTTGCAACTCGTACAAGTGCGTCAAAAATTAATAACAGCTCTCGGCAAATACAATCTTGGACAGAATAAAATGGGAAAGCAATTCCCTCTTCCACTTAAAATACGATAAGGCCGCACGAAGGCCAAAATGCACCATTTTCCAGTCCTTGTCTTAAGTTAAGGTAGGGAGGAAGGGGGGCTTAATTTCCGTATATTTTGTCTAAGATTGTAGCCTTTACCGCTGGAGAAGTCATAGACGTAGGTCCAGTTTGAATCGAATTTCGATTACCGCTGCACTTCCTGCGATCCAGTCCTTACATTTAAATGCCTGAAGTATGTTGTACTTGAATTAGTCTGAATGAAAGAGAGCGGCCTTCCTCTGGGCTATGCAATCTATGGTTTCGTAGAGTAACGAGAAATTGATTTTGAAAGTGCATCGTTCATCAGCTAACAGAAGCCTTATGTAACGAGAAACAAAACAGTTGACTCCTCAAGTCGATAATATGGTTCATGTTGGGTAAACGAAATAAGTGGTACAGTCGACCACTTGCGACTTAAGTCCAGTTCTTAAAAATCAGAAAATTGTATGTTTGAGAGTGTTTTGTAATTTTGCGATTAAAGTCATTGTGACATTTCATGATTCTGACACTCTTATTTGGTCACATGTAAGTTATAATTTTTTCTCTTGCGCTGTAAAAAGTATCATGAAATAAATGAATAAAAACTTAATGTTTACAAGCCGGTTGTCGATCTACCCATGCGGTTACCAAACCTAAGTGAAAAGTGTGTTGAAAATACTTTGCTGATTTTTTTTATTTTTCAATCAGTTCATGGACTTTTACATCGAACTTCGGAAACTATACGTACTTTGTCATTGGTTTTGGCTGAATGATTAATCAGGAAATATGGATTCTAGTTTTTGTAGATGGGACTGTAACACTCTTCAGACACCAGTGGCCTCGTTTCTGAGAGTCTCTATGCTGGGATCAGTTTTAACCCGAGTTTGATGAATCATAAGACTATCAGGTGTTCGGCTAAAGGGACGAGATCCCAAGGCAACGACTTGTTAAGCAGGCCATGACATAAAATACGGGGAGGAGAGGGTAGTACTCCTAAAATTCCCTATATGGGTAGGCTCCGCCCTAAACGGATAACTCTTTCAGGCCTCAGGTCAAAGGGTGCGGATTTCACTAGTTGAAGTATATGAAAGGGGAGAAAAATCGATCATTGAATGGCCTTTGGTGAAACTGTTTCGAAAAGGTGCACCTTATGGCTATATCATTTTTATTTATTAAACTTCTTAAACGTCCACGGTTTCTGCAGTTAATTTCTTTATTATTACTAGTAAACGTAACACGAAAACGACAAAACGACCTGCTAGCGATTTATTCTTATCAAGTAGCTACGTTGAAGGGGTACCATTTTTTAATGGCAGGCATACGAAAGAAATACCCTTTCTGTTAACGGGTATATAAAAGCCGAGTAGGATAAGGGATTGGACCTCGGGGTAAAGCCTAGCCTGCTTCTCAGACATCCGATGTTGCTCGTGGTGGACCGCGAACGACCTCGGGCGCCTGGGAAGCAGGCTAGGTAAAGCCTTCCGGCATTAGACTTGGCAGAATAGTCTCCCCAGGGTCAGAAAGGCTTTTTTATTCAACAAGAAACTATATAGTGTAGTAAAAACTGTTTTGGTATTTTAAGCGGTTCTTCAAAAGGAGACGGCTGTGAAAAAAACAAGCCCTTTGAGCTCAGATCTTTTATGAAATATTTGATGTCATCACGTTAGCATGAAATGGAAAAAATTGTTAATCCTTATTTAATCCTTCCGCGATCTGCGAGCAAACAGGAGATATCAGGCTTGGCTGGATGCTTGGACGGTAAAACCAGGCGAGAGGCCGGAACGTAGAATGTTCATTTGTAAATGACCCGTCACCCCATCACAACGCAAAATAACTACTTGATGCCGTAGATTAATACGCAATAATACATAACATTTTTCAAATTCGTGACTGGCTTTATGTGTCGGCCACCCAAGCTCTAGAGGATGGATCGAAACTGTGGCATTCGATTATTTACGTTTCAGCACGTGCAGCAACAGCGAGCTTCCTGTCATACGCCTCTAATAACCTGACCTGGGTTAAATGGTTTAAAATGATTTGTATTTCGTGCGAAGGATTTTGTAGGATTAACCTCTTCACTCTTGACATTGAATACGACGAGACATCCGTAATTTAGTTTGAAAATTGTGAGTCTTTTGGCTGTAATCGTCGCTGGTGTGACAATTCCTTGAAGACATATAACGCTAAAGTGACTGGCCGCCCCCTTAGCGGGTTTGGGGCGAGGAACAGACTAAATTCCGCTTTGTTTAGTCTTGAGTTTGTCGGTTTTAAAAGAAAAAAATAATAAAACTTAGGCGCTTGGAGAATATGAGGTTTAATTGACCTTCGTGGAGCAAAGATTACTATTAAAAATTAAACTAGTCTGAGTTAATGCAGTGAAAATTTTGAAAATAGTCATGTTTGGCCTTGTAAAATATTTTTGTTCACAATTCTCAGTAGTACCTCAAAATAAAACATTCATGCTCCCTTCATCCCTAGGAAATAGTGTTTTGCTTCTGTATAGCCGGTTACATTGAGTCAAGAGTCAGGATCATCTGATTAAATACATAAAAACTAACTCCCCTTCAGCCTTTAAAGATTAGGACAGATGAATCATCACCCTAAAATTGTCTCTTTCAGGCCCTTTCAGGATTTTTTCAGAAACACTTTTTCGGTGTTACGCTAAATTATCAAACGCCTGACGCCCGTCTCACCACCCCTTCGTCGAAAAGAAGAAATGGTAATAGTCAGCATAAACATCTATCATACTTACAGCGACAAGAGAAAAACAAATGACAACGAGTATGATTACGTGAAGGAAAAATTTGATAGCAACTGAGCAAATGTACGTTTTCTCGAATTTTCTTTTCTGCGCATTGATTTTCCCTTTAACGTATATTTTGATTTTCAGTGTGTGCCAACAATTCGAGTTTCCTGCACGCTTGATAAGAGCGGCAAATGGTGATCTGAAGGTCAAGTTCGTCCCGCAAAAGTAAAATCGCGTTTCCTGCCAAATTCATTCGGTTCCTGCAGTGGTGATCTGAAGGTAAGTTCGTGTAAAATTGCAAATTCATTCCAGGCTTTTTCCAGGCTTTTCTTGGGGAAAAGCTAGTTTTGACAGTCAACAAGGCTACGGAGCTGTGGAACGGTTGTGTACATAACTAGCCATGTAACAGTCATTAAATTCCTTTTTGCCGACTTTGAAGGGCCGTTCTCTCTTGACGCTCTTTTTTGAACCCATTTATACATGGACCCTTTTTTCAAAATCTGAAGTACAAAAGTAAGCGATTTTGAGCGACTTGAGAAGTTTTACATTGCCGATCAGCTGTTTCTGAGCCGAAACGACTTTGTGTTCGCGGTTCGGTGTCACTAATATGTACGCACTTTGACTTAATTTCTTGAAGACCCTTTTGGTTGGGTCATCGGCCAGGAGGGATGACGGTCGACTTTCTCGCTCCTCGCCCTCGTTTACGAAAATTCGTCGCTCAAAACAGGCAATTTGTGGGCAAATCTAGAACACACTGGTACGTTTGATAAGTTGAATGAAATTAAAAAAACCTAAGTCGTCCTCTCAAGAGCTTTGTACCGACTATTGATAGTTTACAAGCATGTCATTTCTCTTCAAAATATCGCTGATATCCTGAGTACTAAAGGAAATAATCACCTTGTCACCCGTAAAAGAGATCTTGATTGTCAAACAAATTCTCCTTATGAGTCAAAGGAAATGTATGGAAAGCAGTGTGGAGAATACGTGTTCTAATATTAGTGTTTCTTGTGACAAAGTTTTCCATTCTCCCAACACACGGGCACGCGACTTACTAACGTCATCATGGTGGAAAGTGACGTCACGTTTCTTAGCTACATGTATCTGAAATCCACTGATTGGTCACATGCAGATCACAATGTTTTCTATCCAAAGTCATCGTTAACCAAAGAACTCGACAATAAACTTCCGAGCCTCAGAATCCAGCTTAAGCTGATAGTCATGTGCTTAATGTTATGTGAATTTTTATATAAAATTATTCTGTCTGAGAACAGACGACGAATTTCCATGGTCTATATCAAGTCAGAACAACTTTATCCTAGCTCTCTTGTTCATAATCTTTTAGACTATGACGTCAAAATCGGGATCAAAATGTTTAAAACCCAAGTAAAAACCACGAGCCATTTCTATGGTCTGTAAGTAAGAGAGGATATCCCGGTTCCTGCTATTAGAGTATAGACCACACAAAATTGTTGTCCATTTGCTTTTTACAATACGTACATAATTTATAACGTCCATTTCCGTTGAAGTTTCGTGGGGAAAATAGCGCTCGACGAAGAGAGACAAAAAATGGCGCTATCAATTCATGGTGTGTCCTTTCCCAGGCCACATCACTCGACCGGACCGCGCGCCAGAAATCGCTCAGTTATTCAGTAAAAAAAGAGGTTGGCCCTTTTTCTCTTATCTCATCAAAGAGCAAAGAGATATTTTATTGTAACCGGGTAGTCTGTAAAAGGAGTTGTACTGCGCAAAGTTTAAAACGCAGTTTAGTATCCACGGAATACTCCATTTTATATACTACGGAAGGGTAGTCCACTCCACTTAGTGCAAAAACCAGGTCCATCTGAGGTAGTCCATAAACTGGGGTCAGTGTTTTGTCTCTTCTTGCAGTAAAATAAAACCTACTACGTCATCTTTGGATAATCATTCTCTCTTGAAAGTACAAAGCCGAATCGAACGACCCCGTACCGAAATAGCCTGTTAGCAAGCTCTCCGGGCCGCTCTGGCAGAAGGGCTTGCTAACAGGCTAATACAGAAACGATGTTTGACCTTCTTAAGTTGATTTTGCCCAACGTTACTAACTTTTCACTTTTTGTACTTTTAAGGTATTTCCGGTAAAGCCTCAAATTAGCATTTTGCAGCTTTTTGATAATAGTAATTGTAGTTCTACTTCAACGTTTTACGTAAACTGATTTTTCTTCCGTATAAGGCAATACTGAAATACGTTCATTCAAGTTCATCCATTGTATTTTCTATTCCTGGCAACAATGAACTTTAAGCTTCTTAGTTAACATGGAACGGATAAGTACGCACTGTATGTAAGCCAAAAGGTCATCTGAAACCTCTCTGAATCTCTTCACGCTCCTCTATTTAAAAAAAAAAAATGTTTGCCTGATAGAGTAGAAAGGCGCGAACTGAAGAGAGGGATGCTTGAAACAAGCGGAGCCGGCGTAATGGTTCAAAATTATGTACACCCGATGAAGATAAATAAACATGTTCCCATTCAATCTGATGAGCTTGACACTTAAAGACATCACTCTTGCTAAAACACATCACTTGTCGAATACACGAGTTTATTATCGTCCGGGTTATTATTATCCGGGTTATTAGTTTAAGTCCCAATGGCGACCAACATTAATTTTCTCCCAACAATATTCATACCTTGTCAAGAGATTAGGTGAGAATGAGAATTTATGAAATGATCACTTTAGAGAAAATGCTTTGATCTGCTATCAAATTCTCTCAACTAATTCTGTTAGGAAATGTATGGAGATCAGTTTGGAGAATTTGTATGTGGATATTGGGGCTTAAATGGTTGATAACTGTGTAGTTCTCTCTCCTCTGCAGAGGCTCCTGCTGGGTATCCCAATAGAAATGGCAATCCTGCAACACCAATAGCCCGCTGCTGAGGAGGGAGGGGTGTAGTTTGTCATGGTTTGTTGCGTGTGACACATCTATTTTTATTTGCTCCGCAGATTCTTGCATTACTGATGTACTATGGGGGCATCTACTCATTCGCCCGGGGAGGGGGAGGGGGTACTCCTGGGAATTCTTGGTGGGGGTGTGCCGCCCCGTTCTTAAAGTCCTGAACCTATTTCAGACCCAAAAATGTCATTTTCCACACCCGTTTTCAGACCAGACCTCTAAAATCCATATTCGTTTTCAGACCTGGAGGAAGTGACAAAACGCAACATGCCTGTTTACAAAGACAGAAATTATATCATCATTACTGAGATTAGAGCGCCAACAAAAGATTTCTTAATAATTCATTTCGAATTCACACTTTATGGGTTTATTTCTCATTTATTTGGAACCAATCGACAAATATGTTGATACACCACCGTAGCTTGCTCGAAAACTATACCCGATTACAGACCAAAATGACTTACGTAAGGGAGTACCCCCCGGCCTCATTCGCCAGTACGCCGTTTAAAAGCCTCTCTCGACATCTTAGTTTTTGTTCAGTTGTCGTCGTTCGGTACCGAGAACTATTGTTTTCTGAATTTTTTCATTAAAATAAACTAAGAACTATAGAATATGGAAGAAAGTTGGTTCTGTTTTTATGTGAAGAACCAACCTGAACAATCCCTTCCATCGAAGAGTTAGAGTTAGAAGAAAACTGAGAGTCCGCCAAGTTTTGAATAGGACGAAGCTTGAAACTTTCGCCTGGCTGTCCTCGTCCTTCCCGTTACAAAAGCTAACACTGAATCAGTTCTTTGGGCATGAAACAAGATATTTGGCCCAAGGGCCGTGCGATGAATCTGAATACGGGCAAGAGAGGATACGGGGTAATCTAAGATGAAACAAGCATGAAAAACGTAAACGCGGGGAGATCGGGGAAACCGGCGTGAAATCTTCATTCTCATGCACCTCAGGCTAAGTCAGAGAAAGAGAGCTGAAGAAACCAGCTCGCCGACTCACTGCATGCAGATCCCGGCTGCAGATGCTGAGTCTAACGTAAATTATTCACGTAAACGTACAAAATAGTTCGAAATAGACTAAAATGAAAAGAGTTATGAAGGAGAGAAAAGGTCCCATACTCACTAAAGAAAGTAAGGAGGAAAAAAGAAAAAAATATGAATTGTCACATGGAAATTCCAGTGCTTTGTTGTTGTTGATCTCACATGGTCAAGTTGTTTACCATATGTTTGAACTTTTGTGCAGAATTAACGCAAATGCCCCCATGATGTGCCTTGAATGCTTTGACCAGGACAAAATTAGCTTATGTACCGCCTTCTACACATGCTAGAGAAAATTAAAAATTGTCCGCCCACTCTTTTAGTTTACTTGTTTGCCTATAAAATGACTTGTGAACACAAAGTTTATGACTATGACCACCAGTAGCTTCTTCACTTGTCCAAAACATTGAAGGAAAACACACAGGTATGGGTCAAATAGGTGACCTTATCTAAAAATTTTGAATGTGCTACTCGGCTAAGTTTGAAGAATCGCACTGGATGAAATGCAAAAAATAGCAGTTTGTCACTAATTGTTGAAATATGATAGCTTCCTGTTACTGGCTGAAATTTTAAAATTAATGGCATGGCTCACAGCTTGAGACGGGCCTAGAAGGTAAATAAAAATAAAGAAACAGCAATAATTTTGTTGCCTTTTGGCGTACAATGAATTACCGCACTGAATTTGTAGCCAGTGGAACCATTTTCTACGATTTTATTTTCTTCTTAGCTTTTTCTTTCATTGTAACATCTTTGCGTCCAGATTTGTTCAGCCTTTTGAATATTCTGAGGCTGAATCAATAGATCGCAAAATTTAATATGTTTGTTCTTCAAAACACATTACCCTATGGTTACAAAATTGAAGTTAAAATGGTTTATGCTATTATTCAATGTTTACGATTATTAAATGGAATTGAATGGCTTACTCGTTCAATTTGTTGTTAATTATAGGCTCTCGCCAAAGTCCCATTTTAGGAAGTGCACAAAGTTTTCTCTGATTACAAAAGTTATATTTTAATTTTTTTGTCCTTTGATCCTAGCTTTTGTTGTATGGCTGTGGATTTGTCAGTCAACACCAACTGTTTTTCTATGACAATTTGCCTGAACGAATTACCATCATATAATTTATTTTGGCGCGTGCTATTTTCTTCAATTGAGGAGTTTGAAGTAGCAGAGATTTAAAAATTTTGACGGAAGTGGGCACTTGGGAAGTGAATTATACCCGATTAAAATAGACTGATGACATCAGCAAATCACAAGGCTGTGAGTTTTTGAAACGCGTTTGGACAAGAAAAAGCAAGGTCACCTCGTATAATACCTGGCTGAACCCAATCTCGAGATTTTAAGACGAATAAACAATGGAAGCTAAATGCGTTGTAAGCTTAATGAAAACATTGTATGTTTGTCCATTTTGGCGTAAGTCCTTGATTTAGACATGCACGAGCTTATTTTCACCTGGGGTTTTCACCCGTCAAGTTCCTGAGGCACCGGCTTCATGCATTCACCCTTGAAACTCCCGGGCGCATATGCCAGAAAATGATAAAAGATTTGTCAAACGTTGGAATCCTCGGTAAACGAAAGAAATTAAACACTGGCTAACGCTCTTAGCGTCATAACCCGCAATCTTTCGAACAAACAAACACAAACTAGTCTGTGTAATAACAAAATTACATTACATTTAGTTTGTAAAGAGATCCGCGCAATCATTGGTTCTTGCTTGATGGGGTCGCCGCATCCTGTCATCTCTCACGTGACAAGCTTCGTATTTAGCCAGAGCGCTTGCGTATGACTATACCAGTTCAACTACACGTGATGACTATAAACGCGCTGGCAAAACGGAGCTCTCAGATGGGAGAAGACATGGCGGCCAAGATCGAGGAGAGCTCCGAACACAGCACAGATGGAGTAGCTGGTACGCCTAAGGAAGCTGCTCTGCGCGAGCTGATGGAAAGAACGAAATACCCGATCAGGCAGTTCAATGGCCAACGCAGATATGGGCCACCTCCGAACTGGAATGCACCTCCCCCTCCACGTGGCTGCGAAGTTTTTGTGGGAAAAGTTCCTCGAGATTTATACGAAGATGAATTGGTCCCTGTATTTGAGGCTTTAGGCGAAATCTACGAAGTTCGACTTATGATGGATTTCAACGGACAGAATCGTGGTTACGCGTTCGTTGTTTACACGAATAAGGAAGACGCCAAGAAGAGTGTCAAGAGTTTGAACAATTACGAAATACGTAAGGGAAAATGTATCGGGGTTTGTAGCTCAGTGGACAATTGTCGATTATTCGTTGGAGGTATCCCAAAGAAGGTTAAGAAGGACGAAATCATGACAGAAATGGTGAAAGTTACAGACAACGTTGTAGATGTAATTGTTTACCCATCAGCTCAGGACAAGACGAAGAATCGAGGCTTTGCGTTCGTTGAATACAGTTCGCATCGCGATGCTGCAATGGCCCGAAGAAAACTTATGACTGGTAAAATCCAGCTCTGGGGACATCAGATCGCTGTCGACTGGGCTGAACCGGAGCAAGAAGTCGACGAGGAAATCATGGATCAGGTTAGATTTTTATTTACGGTCCGTCGTTACCCAAAGTAGCCCCTCCCCCATCTTCGCAGTGCTAAACGTGCCTTACGATATCTCCGATAGCTCGTTGCTTTTCGAAGTTCTTACTACCAGTCATGATTTTATTTAGAATTTACTAGTGTGGGAGTTTATCGTAATAACAGTCGGTGCTCCTTTATGCTAAGTCCAGCCTTGTATAGAGAAGTTTATTTGTTGATGTCGTGTTATTTCACTTCCTTTGTTCAACGAAGCTTGTCTTTGTCGTTGTTAAGCATTAGCTTTTTATTGGAGTAATTAGTTACTCTTTGCAGTCTTTTGTCGTTTCACGACGATTATGTCGGAGGCGCGATGCAATGCAAAGCCTTAAGCAACCGCTATACTTCAATAGAACCGCAAGAGATCGATTTAATTTTTTTATTTGGCTTTGTTTTCAAGGTGAAAGTTCTTTACGCCCGAAATCTTCTATTAAGCACGACCGAGGATACAATAGAACAAGTCTTCAGCAAATTTGGCGAAGTTGAGCGAGTTAAGAAGATCAAAGATTACAGTTTTATTCACTTTCGAACCAAGGAACAAGCCAGAACAGCTTTGGAGGCCATGAACGGTAATAAAATTTTTATGTTTATGTTTTGTGGATCGATAAATTTTAACAGGTACAGGGAAGGCTCTTTTTGAACTTGTGAATGCAGTCCCCGCGGTATGTCAACGGAAACCCGCTTCTTTCTGTAACCAGAATCAATTGTGTTTTTTGTTTTCTTTTGTTAAAATTAATGTAAAATTTCACACTTGAGTTACTAACTTCTGTGTCCTCGCGGTGTTACCAAAAAATTCCCGGGGGATCGTTTTGACCGCGCGAAAGCGGCTTTCGAATGTTTTGTCTTGAAATTGCCGATCGTTGACCATTTCCTTTTGAATTCGCGTAAAGAAAAACACGAATTAGCGCAGGTTGAAAGAGACTTAAAACAGCTCACGCTTGTCTGGTAGCAGCTTGAAGTTTGTTCCAGTGAAGAGGGTATTTTCTTTTCTGCAAGTTTCCCTAGTGATGTGAAATCGAACACTGCACTCGAGAACGTGCCTTGTGTTTATGTTTAAGCGTTATTTAATACTTGTTTTTTTTTTCCAACTGGAGGTCCAAAATTTTGATCTTTGCTTAGTGTCGGCGAGTAGCGTAAACCACTTTGAAGACTCTAAACATAAACAGTGGTTTAAATTCAGAGGTTTTGAACGAATGTTCCATAAGGCGCTTTACTCTGCTTGGATTTAACCACTAAATGTACAGTAACTCGTGATTGAGACTCGCACCATGTCTGTCACACTTTCAGTCAGTGCAGTGTATTAGACTCATTTTGGTGAATGACCTACAGAAAGTAATCCGAACTCTCCCGCTGGTTACCTTTATTATTATTGATTGCAAGATTTTTTCATATACGTGATTTCCTGAGCGGAATTTTCTGCGTTAAAAGTTGGGACCTACTGGAACTTTCAAAGGCAGGAAGCCCTCTCTGTTACAAAACGTAACTTTATCTTCCCGTACTGTTGCTAATTATAACCGTTTTCCTGTAAGCCCGTTTTAATTGTCAGTCGTTTAGACTGTTTCTACATTTAGAGATGACCTTGAGAAAATCGTGGGTTGTAGGTTTAAGTTTTTTTTTCGAAAGATATATTGTTTTAAAGTCGTGATGTTCTTGCTGTGCGATTATCTCTCGTTCATAATTCTTCCTTTTTTTCTGTTTTGGACCGTATTTTCAGATTTTAGTCACAACTAAGCCTTGTCTTGTGCTTTGTTCAAAATAACTTCTGACCACAAATGTCTCCTTTATGAAATATGTTGGAATAAAACCAGAAGACGCTTTCAAGCAGGTTTAAAAAGATAGCTACAACATTGTTCTGATCCTTCTTTCAAAAGCTGAAGCCCTCCTCTCTTTAATCTAACTTTCTGCTTGCAAATTTTATGAGATGTTGAAGTCATAGCAGGAAAAGGTAAAATGCTGTTGTCAGATTTTTTACAAAATGTTAATTTTATTGTTACATGTTTTAGAAAGATTGCTCTTCACGTCCAAATTTTAATGCAGTTGGATTTTTTGGAAATAAAGTCAAAAAAGTATGCAAGTATTAATAATAATTGTCTGTCAGCCCTTTTTTCAGCAGGTTTTAAGTTTTGCAGCTTGGTTTCCACAATCACAGCACCCTATTTTTATGTTTGGACAAAACAATCAAGTTCATTCTACATAAATATCATAGTTGTTTTCTTGAACTACTGATGATTAAGGAAATTTAAAAACAAAAACATCTGCGTATATACAGTGATAATTGTTTGCAGTTGAAATTTGTAACTTTACCTTCTTTTTGAAATGCTTAAGGCAAATTTTATCCACATAAATTTTACCAACCACTAAAACATTGTTTTCTGAAATTTTTTAACAAGCAAAAGGACAACCTTTTTGGGGGGTAGTAATGTGCTGAGTTGTCCATGCAGATACTTGTTCTACCCGGTTGACTTAGACATCACAGCACACTTAGGTACAGTGATTTCAGTTACCTAATGAACAGTTAAAAAGATCTCGTACAGTTTTATCATTGTGCTGCAGTGGAAAACATTTTTGCCCAAATGAAAAAAAACATCTTGGAAAAGACCCCAAAATTGGACTCACTGAAGCGTCTTCACAATCGTACCGTGTGCATGCTAATCGCAGTCAACAAACTTGACTCATTGATTAAAAATATTATTCCATAGAATTTCTTTTGTTGAAAGAGCATTCTAGTTTTGGTTGTCGTAATTTAAAGGAATTTAGATGATGACTGGACAATTCACTTATCATGATGTTTTGAGATGTGATTTTGCAAGATACGAATTACATGTCACTATCTTGAAATATCAGATAACTTAGATCACAAAAAATTACAGAGGATAAAGGACAGTTTAGAATGGAGGCAATTAATGCCAATTCATGAGAAATAAAGGGTGAATTTTTCAAGGAACAGAAACTGTGAGTTAGCTTGACCTTTAACAAAATGATAACTCGGCATTTAAAGACGAAATGGTTAATTGTACAATAATCCAAAAATTATTATGAGGTCAGTTTTACAAAAAGGTAGTCATAAATCAAGTGCCGCATTCCAACGTGGCTTTTGGGTTGGTTTGTGTCTTTTTTTATGTTAAGGAAAAGTTTTACAAGCTTTTCTGGACACAGGCCTGCACAGAGGGAATAGGCACGAATGGGACTCTTAGGTACCATGCAAGGTGCCATCCCTACCCAATCCCACAACCTGTAAAGGTTGGCCACACCACCGGGGTCTACGTTCCCTACTCTTTTCGAACAGTAGTGTGGGTTCTTTTACGTCCCACAAGAACAGATCAATGAAAGTGCTGTGAGACGGGACCTACGGTTTTTCGTCCTTATCAGAGAAGACTAGAAAGTCAAACCATTTGCAGATGTCATTACAAAGGCAGCACTTTCTTCTTAGTTATTTTAAGACCCTAAGTGTTGGTCCGGCCGGGGTTTGAACCCGCGAACTCCCGCTCAGCAGACCGGCGCTCTCCCAACTGAGCTAACCAGGCGGCGGTTAAAACCTTTTAGTAGCCCTTGCCTTGGTGTTTTGCTGTCAAAATGGTCAAGGCATTTTAACATTTTAGATTTTCTTTGTGCAGTTCTTGTAGAGAATGCATAAAATTAATATTCACCTATTAATTCATTCTATCAAAGTTTTGGCCAATACACATCAAGGTAATTAAAGCATCACAAACAGGATTTTTTTGTTAAAAAAACTGACGTGTTTATCCTGTGGAGAAAGCTTTATGCCCAGTTCAAACATCCATCTTTTCATGAACCAAACCGAATCCCTTCAATTAAGTTCATGAAAAGATCAACATTTCAATCAATTAAGTTGACATGTCTAATATGGGTCAACCCAAGAATTAAGTTCAAGTGGCCCACATGGGAAATTTGACTTCAGAGCGACTTGGTTTCAAACGTCAAACCTTTCATGTGCTGAACCTAATGCACAAATTACTGTAATTCATTTTTACTGGACAGGTAAACATTGTAGACCATTGTACATCGTGAAATGAATTGAGTGTGACGAATTAAGCTCGAGGTTTGGTACATGAAAAGTTTAACATTTGAACTGGGCCTGTTGGCCTTTCAGTGCTATTTTTCTCTCATCAAATTTTGGAGCTTAGTGTGCAGTGAGGCAATGAAGATTTTGGTATTACATCTGAAAGTTTTCCTGTTTAAACTGACAGAGACTTAATGTTGTTTTGTCCAGGCAAAGAGCTTGATGGAAATGAAATAGAGGTGACTCTTGCTAAGCCTGTGGACAAGGATCACCGCCAAGCCAAAGCAGCAGCAAAAGCCGTGATGAGTGCTACAACATACCCCAGCTTCACTCCATATGATTACCCTACAAACTCAGCTGCATATGGCTTCCCAGCGTATGGGAGCCAGTATTTTATGTATGGAAGTCCAGTGACATCGACAATGGGGTGAGAATTATCAGGATGTCATGTAACAAATTGACAACAATTTTCCATGGTCTATACCCTTATTGACTTTAGAAATGAAATGAAAAGGTCCAACTGCAAAGTTCTGAATATTTTGACGTCATTTGTATGGTCGACAAGAGTAATAAGTCATGGTAGATGGTTGATTGTTTTCGAAAATAACATTCACAGTTTGTAAGTTCCATGTTTGTTTAATCGCATGCGAAGGAAAGAGAAAAACAATTTGTGCCACCATCATGTCATTTCTAATCGGTCTGTACTCTCAGATCAAAGATGAGTTTTGCACTTCAATTTTTTAGAATTCAAGAACCAATCCAGTGTTTTGACCCTCGAGAAATGTTGTCAGTGTGTTAGTGGCCGAAAACTATATGAACGTTTTTTCTTTCACCAGTGGTGTGAGGCCTCCTTTTGGAATGGTGAGGACAAGAGGGCGAGGTCGATCTGCAGCTGGTAGCAGAGCAGCGGGAAATAAGGGAATGTATCTGCCTGCCACTGGTGGCTACCCTTTTAATGGTTTCAGAGGTTATTACCCTACAGTGCGACCAGGATGGTATGGAGATGGATACAGCAAGAGAGGAGGAAGACAAGAAGTATGTCCAGTTAACTTTTTGCCATATTAAAAAGTTAATCCATCAACTTATCTGTTGACTATTTCCCCTTGTATGGCTTAATTGATACTGTATTCCCCTGCTACTGGGACTGTTGAAATCCGATGTTATTAGCAAGGTACTTGTAGTAATGTTGTTTTGTTTGAGGCTGGTGGTGATCGCATATTAAGAATAGTTGAGTTTCCAGCTCATGTGGGATATGAAATGGTTTTGGTAATTTCATTGTGATTCAGATGGGCACAATCACCATATTTAGTAATACAAAAGATTTAAAAGGCACTGAAAAATAACCATCTCACAACACAATATCTAACCAGCATGGTTTCTCAAAAACACACACACGCACACAAAAAAAATGGCAAGTAGCTTGCATGAAAACAAAGTAAATTGTGGCCAATGAGTTTTTTGATCACCATGAATACATGGAACACCCTACAGATTTGGCAGAGTTATGTTGATCACAACAAGAAAATCACGAGTTTGTTAACAGTTGGAATGAAAGTATGTGATCCCAATGTTTGAGTGGTCGTAAGTTGGGAACTACTTTATGTTAAGTAAACACGTCATGAGAATTGAAAAAAGGTTCACTGACTCTGGACTGTGTTGTACCTTTATTTAAAAAACACCTCCTTCCTTAAAAATTTTGTAGCTTTTGAAATTGTCATGGGAATGAGGGTTTAGATAAATTAATGATATACTGTGACAATTTAACCTAAAACATGAATTTTCAGTAACTTTCACAAGTATCTCAAAGAAAAAATTTTATTTTCTCTTGATCTTATACAAGAAAGGAAAACTAACTTAAATTTAAATACAGTGTAGATACTAGTGTTCTGAGGGGCCTAAACAAGGTGAATTAAGATAAGTTTTAGTTGGTTTCATTTAAAATGGCAATGAGCTCTAGTCTGCACCACTAAATTTTAACATCAAGAAGAGGTCTTTGTTTTGTATAAAACTAATTCACACTGACTACAGTGGTGGACAAAACACTGACCCTCAGTCTGTGGACTACCCATATGGACTATCGTAAAATGAACTACACCACTGTAGTTTAGCAGGGTTTGAGCCAGACTGCGCCTTTGCGCCACTCCCACACTGCAATTGAAATTGTCCCTTAAAAAAACGGCAATCGTTAACGTGTCACATCGAAAACGTGCTCGAAAATTAGAAAGCTTTTTGACTCCAAATCAAAGCCAGAGTGAATCAGAGAAAAATGATACAGAAGAAGAACAGTGTATTAATCAGGAAGAAACGGATGAGGATCGAAGGAAACCGAAAAAATCACGAGATCACACGTGGTTGCGCTATGAAAAGGAGGCGATGTTGTGCTATTTTTGTTGGAAATCTAAGAAGACAAACCCCTTTGCATCAGCAGAAGGGTGTACAAATTTCTGTCCCCCTAAAAACAAAAATGTCCCCCAAGATTTTAGCAAAGGGGACAAGTTGTCCCCCAGTGATCAAATCCTAGCTCAAACCCTGGTTTAGTGATTAGGGTTAGGAAACTCAGTGAATCAGGTTTTCATGATACTTTGAAAACTGACCTTAAACTTGATTCACCCAGTTTTCTAACCCTAATCACTAAACTTTAATGGCGTACTCCATGTTAGGGTAGTCCATATGGGTAGTCCATGGACAGGGGTCAGTGGTCAGTGTTTTGTCCACCACTACTGACTTCATGTGCCAAATTCACCTGTAAGTGACATAACTGCACTTGTTGCTGTAGGAACGTATGTTTGATCTGGTGCCGGGAATGGAGTTGACTCCTACAAATCCCATGACTTTGAAGCCACATGCTCTCAAATCACCAGCTCAGGTGGGAGTCTATCATCGCTTTCTCTTGTTTCGTCAGTTAACAGACAGGGCTGTCAACCCCCCATGTCTTCAGATATTGAGAATTAATGGGGAAGGGATGACAGATGACGTCATTTGTGAAAAAAAAATGCGGGAAAAAGATGTTGTTGGAATTGTAACTGGAGTTTGTGAGGAAACGTTCGATATTAACGGTAAAAAATAGCTCAAATAAGGCAAAATATTTGAAATTTCAATGTCAGAAAGTCGAAAGTACAAGAAATGGCAAACTTCCGCGATTATCCGGGAGATTTCAGAGTCTAAATCTGGAGACCAGGAGAAACGGTTTCAAATCTGGAGTCTCCCAGATTATGCGGGAGAATTGACAGTCCTGCGGAGAAAACAGCTGGCATTTCATGATGCTACCACTGTGGTTTCCCTGAGCAGTGACTGCAGAAATTCCTTACTGATGACATGTTAACCAGATCTTGTTACTGACGCGTCATCAGTATGGAATTTCTGTGCTCGTCTCTCAGATGTCATTTTGCGGGGAAACCACGGTGGTAGCATTACAAAATGTCAACTGTTTTCTCAGGTTATTAACGCTCAAGAGCATTCAAAGTTTGTTTAAAAAAACCCTTGGTCGTTTTTGTGAGTTACACAGTGCTTCCAAAGAGGTTTCATTTTAACACTCATTACACAGGACTTCATCCACAGGATTCATTAAAAAAAGAGAAACTTTTAAGATGTAGGTTACTTTTTCCCTGAATTGAAGTTATTTAACCCTTTAAGTCCCAATATCCACATACAAATTCTCCAAACTGATCTCTATACATTTCCTTAAAGAATGAGTTTAGAGAATTTGATAATAGATAAGGCATTCTCTCTTGGGTGATCATTTTATTAATTCTCATAGTTAACTTATCTCTTGAGTATGGATATTGTTAGGAGGTAATTGATGTTGGTCACTATTGGGACGTAAAGGGTTAAGATACAAAGCACATTTGTCGAAATTATCCTCCTAAAATGAGGCTTATCATACATACCTTTTGCCCGAGGTGTTGAATAGAAGTTGAAGTGGCATACGTAGGCTCTGTGAAAGTCTGGTCAGCTCTGTTACTTTTGAAGCTGGTATAACTCATTCAGAAGCACCTTTTTGCCTTAAATATTAATTGCACTGAAGGGATTAACTTGAACATAAAGTAACAGCGAGATTTAATGCCCTTAGTAACATATACTGTAGAAACAATAGAACAATCTATAATGATGTTTTAAGTCTGGTGTAATGTATTTATTCAATTGAGTGCCCTGGGTGCTCATGTACTAATCTTGAGAGTGGGCGCTTATTCCACACTAGAGGCACATGTTAACTTTTCCTACCTACAAGGTTGGCACTTTGTTTGAAGTTGGGTGCTTAATCAAACATTACAGTAATTAATTTAATAATAACTGACATTTTATATAGTTTAAAAATAACATCTAATCTTTTCCTATCAGGATCATTTGCTTCGTGTAAAATAACCTTCCAAAGAATTTCTAAAATCCTCAGTGTCAACATTTAAAATTAAAATCTTTTGATTTCTCTCTGTGTGCTATCACATTCATAATGTTAGTTTTTCCGACTTGACAAAATTGTAAAGGGTGACCTGCAATTGAGAGGAATCTGTTGATCAGTGCTTGAGCAACTCTTTTTTTTTTTACACTGAAATGAACTTTTTTGATTAATAGTAATTCCAACTTTTGAGAATCAACAAAATATTTTGCTATAACCATTCAAATGAAACATCTTAGGCTGGACATTTTGAATAATGGTACTTATAAGATTGCACAAGATGAAATTTAAAAATTATTCTCAATTTTGACATGGGCCTTTTGCTAATGTGGGTTTTCTCCATTTTCTGTCACAGGTTTTAGAGGATGTGTGCCAGAAAAATCAATGGGGTAGTCCTGTTTACACGCTCCACAGCACTGTAGGACCTCAGGACATGCAACTCTTTCTGCACAAGGTTGGGCTGATTTTTCTGTGACATTATTTTGAACCAAATATCAAATGCTGTGAAAATTGGATTTGCTTGTATTAGATTTCCTCTGACAAGCACCACCAAAACAATGCTACCAGCCGTACCCCTTATGTTTTCTTAAAAATCACTTCTTCTTTTTAAAGTTGATTATTTCAATAAGCCTAAAGGACAACAATCTTGTCTGGTGAGTCAGTCTTAGTGACATCTCTATCTCCATGGTCTTGCTGAGTTCTGTTAATATTTATGTGCATTTATAGTAAAAGCAAGATAAGACAAGTAATTAAGATCCTTTCCACATAAGCAGACAAATCTTGAATTGTCCTGAATATAAAGCTTAACTAACTCACAAGTATTGAACTACTAGCTTTTACCTGCAACAAAAGCACTGTTGCTGTTGTATCATTGTGTGCCACACTGAACACTAGTCCATGTTAATCTTTACTTAAAGGTATCCATTCCTGGATTGGCCACCCAGTATCAGCCTCCTAAGTTGTGCCGCACAGTTGAAGAAGCCAAGAGTTATGCCTCAGAATATACACTTCAGCAACTTGGTATTCCAATAGAGGGTATGTCTAGGTAATAAATAAATTATTTCCAAGAATTTAAACTTAATTCTTAAATAAATCACCATGTATATTCTCCCAAGCATTCTCCCTTCATTTCCTACGGCACTGATCAGGAGAAATTATACATCAATCAAGAGCTTGTTCATATTTCTTGGTGATTTTTTCCTCAATCACAACTATAAAAAAATTCTCTCATCTAATTGGCTTTTGGCAGCTCTAATTTCAGCACATGTCAGGCTTAGTAATTTTGGAAAGGATATGCAATCACATGTGCTGTAATGGGAGCAGTTCTTGAATTATTTTTACTTGAAGTAGTTCAACGGTTTTACCCATCATGTAATATTGCTCAAAATGTCTTGTTTTCTGAAAACCTGGAAGGCAACTTTAAAAAAGTTGAGCTTGGATCACTGTTTATAAAAATAAAGTTTCTATCTCGCTGGTTTGTTTTCTTGCATGGTGCTTGAGTTCTATAGTTGCTACTTTTAAATTTAAACTTGTTTTCAGCAGCTTTGGTAGTGGTACCTGCTGGGTATATGTACTTCTTTAATTCGCTCTGGTTTTCTCAAATGACTCCAACATTTGCAGGAAAAACATTAAGTTGACTAAAAGGGCAAGAGAAATTTGTAGCCTTTGATCATAAAAGAGTACTGAAAAGGGTAACTCTCAAGGTGTTATTTATATTTTATTAATATTTCAGTGGTGACCACAACAGCAGCAGATATTCCCCCAACTACTGGAACCCCAGTACCTTCTACAGCAACCTATGTAGCCCGCCCTTTACCCCCAGGTATGTTGAACGAATCAGCAACAATTTTATGTAGTCTGTACTCTTTATAACGATAGAAGTGAACTCAAGGGTGCGTGGTTTCACTGCAAAGTTATGAGCATTTTGACCTCATTCCTGTGGTTGATAAGAATATAAACCCAGGAAAATTGATTACAATAACATTGACAGCTGCTTAAGTCCATTTCTGTTTAAGTTTCTCGAACAAAAAATTGCATGTGAGAGTAAGAGAAAAACAAATTGCTCCATCACATCATTGTCATGCCATATACTCTCATTCACCATAGCTCTTGAGCAATCAGTGCGAGGAATATCACTCTGTATATAATGTTTTATTTAGACAAAGGAATTGATTATGAAGGTTTAACAATAAGAGAATGGTTGCCACATGCCAGAAAAATAGTCAGGGTAAAAATAAAATTCTTCATGATCAGCAAAAAAATCAGGAAATTTTATTTGTAAGTCAGAGAAAATTGACATTTTGAAGAAAAGTCAGGGAAAATTGAAAGAAGAACCCCTCTGATTTAAAGGGGCTATGTAATGGCTGTGTGGATCATATTATTAACATTGCCAGTTACAAGTATATGGAACTTAACATTAGCTGAGAAATTTCTAACAAATGACAAAATCCCTGCTTCACGTCTAACAAATAATGTGTCAAGGATTTTTTCAAATGTCATAGACAACCAAAACATTCTTGAACTCAATTTTTTAGTCCCAAAACTTCCTTTGTTTGCCTCTATATCCATAAAATGACCTAAAGAAAGACCCTTACTTGTATTGATATAATTATAAAGTGTTTTTTTTTCAAAAACAAAAACAAGGACCTCTGTCCAGCTTATCTCTAGTAAGCTTGCAGCACTTTGAACAGTGACCAATGTATGTCTCTTTTGTTTATCAGTCTTCAGTACTGTTTGTGGGGACTAGTAATAATTTCATATTTACTTTTTTTTTCTGTTTCCCTGCAGGGGCCTACAGCCTGCCGAATTCTGGCCGACCAATCAGTAGTGCAGAGGCTGGCTCCTATGCCTCAGGTTATGTACCAATTAGTAATGCCCCCAGTAGTGTTGCTTCTGCTGCCGTGGTGGCTAAACTGCAGGGCTCTTGGCCTGGAGGGGTACCGCCCAATCAGGATGCTGCAATGTATGGAAATTATGATGGATATCCAACTGGTGAACAGGGCGGTTATCCACAGAATATTTATCAGCAGTATTAGTGGCTGAAATTTTTAGACTTAATACAATCAGTGATGTGGTGTGGAGAGCAGGGCAAGAAGTCACTTGACTTTATTTAAAATTTTTCAAGGAATGTTCCAGTGTAACACAAGTTGAATGCAAGTCATAACGCTAACTTGCCTGGCTAAACCTGCTCAATATTTCCTGCACAAACAGGTTTCAGCTGTGATTTGTTTTTTTACAAGAAAGGTCATTTCTCAGGAGACTGAGCACAGTGTGACAGCTATTGCTATTTTTCAAGGCTGTTAAAAAATGGGATCTTGGCCTCACAATCCAAACACATACTGAATGTTTACAATTTAATGGGATAAGGGTGGCAGCAGATGTTTATTGTGTGAACAGTGTATGTGTTCTAGTGTCTTTGTGTCATAGATAAGGGTCATTATTAGAGAGGGTTATGTCAGAATTATTTCATCGTTTTTTTTTTGCTGGTTTAAGTGATCATTAGTTCGAGTAGTGGAAGAATTCAATAGCTATATGCTGCAAATTAAATTTTAGGCCATTTGTATGGACGAAAGAAGGCACGTAATAAAGGCCTATTTTACTGTCATTGACAAAGTTACAACCAGCTTAATAGCTTTTTTTTTTAATGAATTTTTTCAGTGCTTTATGTCATGGTTTTACAGGAAGAAAGAATTTCCAAGTCACAAACAAAGCGTATTTCAATATTATAAATTTATTCGTACTTGCGTCCTATTCGCTATTTTATTGTCTTATAACTGTATCCATTTTAAGTCATCCAAAGCAAAGAGAAAAAAGAAAAGAAGAGTTTTAGTTTATATTTTTGTTAGAGAAAACTCAGATATTTATAGACAAACAGGGCTCATTGTTGGTCGTTTGGAACTGAACGCTTGAGAACTGGTGTAAATACTGAAAATGCTACTCTTGAGGTATTTTAAATGCACATGCGCTGTGTACCACAGGATTTCGTGTAAGCTTTGTCCCTTGGTCAACTAGTGTATGTAACATGAGAACATAAGGTTTTGTTGCGGGAAAAACCGGTGAGATTTTGGGTTTGATTTTTTGGGGAAGAATGTTGGACAATGCTCTTACATGAATCTGTGCAATTATTTCACTACACATCGTTCACCCAAGCACTTTGTATATTTTCATCACGAGGTTCCTTGAACGTTATGTACAGTTAAAATCTCTTTAAAAATGAAATAATTCTTTTATAAAATTGCTTGAGCTTGCTCTTTTCTATTCAAGAGGCTGAAAGGAAGTAGCCAGGATATTGTTATCTGTTAGGAGAGACTTGCACCTCCTAAACATCAACGTTTAAATTTGTGTTAATGCTCATCTCTGGGAAATGTGTGTAGAGGAATCCTTCTATTAACAATCGGTGGTTTAGTTCTGGAGTAAAGAAAGTGTTTGCTCAAAGAAAAGGAACGAAATAACGCGTGGAAACAGTTCAAGGAGAATACTTGAACTTTTTTCTGCGTCCTGCGAAGAAGAAAGCTTTACAACACTTACCCTTAAGACTGAATGGAAATCCTTCTGTATGTTTGTTAAAGGTTGCCTTTGAGTTAACAGCACTGACCATAAATACTGAGGGCTCGTTTGTCCGTCTTTAAAACGATGGCATTCGCTCGTCGGCTCTTCCTTTCAGCCCTTCTTATTCAACAAAAAAGTAGAATTTTTCTTCAATGGCAATTTACTTTGTTTATAGGATGTTTATTCTAATAATGCTGTAAAACGAAAAATTCACCGGAAGTAAAAACAAATAGGAATTTTTTTCAAGTCTGTATGTTACAATTTGAGTTCCATTAAAGATACCAACACAGAAGTCTATTTACAATTTAACAAGAAACTGCCAACGGTGCCGAGCTATAGAGCCTGATTTAAGTGAATGAAACAATTAGTCTCTTACGTTACCAGTCATGGTCTTGTCACGCAATGCCTTCCGCCTCAAAGGAGACAGGGGATTGCGTGACCTAGGTGCGTAGAAAACTAATGTAGAATTGCATAAATATGTTTATTAGTGATGTAGTGATAATTATTTAGTGAGTTACTGTTAGAAAAATGAAGGGATTGTGAAAGGTTCGAAACTCACGATTTCCTCCACCAGCCATTTTGGCCTTTTTGTGCAGCAGAGTTTGGAATTTATGTTTCGTTTATTCCAAAAAGAATAGTGACATATAAACAAAAAATTCGTGAGTTTCAGGTTTGTTTGCCCAGCTAGGATTTGAACGGAGGGAAGATAACCAGAGCTTGCGACATTTCATCAGGCCAGTTGTCTTTTTTAAGGGCTGGTTAGGTAAATATTACAAATATAGCATAATCATGAATCAAATAACGGTACAATTGAAAAATAAGCCACCAATAAAATCCCACGTATGGTACCGACATAAGCCTGCGTCTTGTTTTGGTTGTGAAGGTAACATTGTCGCTGTGTAGATTGGTGACATCAAGGAGGATTGGAAAGCATTCCCAAAAAGCTTTGCGTTGCAACCATATCAAAATTTTGAAAATTTTTCAGAACTGGTATTCATGTGTTTAACCCGTCAGTCCCGAGAGTTACAAACATCAATGGGATCATTATACGTTTCTGGGAAACTGCCCACCTACCCCTCCCCTTAGCCAACATTGACACTTCTCACTTAGGGCAAAATGTTGGTTTAGGGGAGGGGTGGGTGGGCAATTTCCCAGAAACGTATAAACAAAATTAATAGGTAATCGAGGGAAAAGGTTATAGCAATTGCTAAAACCATCTCTTTGGGGAAAAGCTTTGATCCTGAATGTAAGGAGATCAGTGTGGACAATTTCTATGTGGATATTGGGAGTTAAAGAGCTAAAGACAACATGTGAATTAAATTCCCTTGGGTCACCGTGAATGGTTTCTCCTAATGTTTCAGCCATTTTCTTCAAGACGGACGTTTAAATAATTTTGATCCCAGGGGGTACCTGTGAGATGGGGTTGATGGTTGAATGGCACTGTTTTGGGTGGCCTGTGCCTGGCTCTCAGATTGTAAGGAGGTCAAAGGAGGAAGCGCGTGATCACGAAAATTATCGCATCAGGTTTTACGATCTCTAGACGTTATTAGGGAGCTTAAGCAAGGACGTTTTTCAGCAACGAACGTCAACCGGAGGTGAGGCCTTTCCTTTTTTATTAACGCTACCAAATTTGTATCGCTAAGTTTCTTTCAACCGAAAATTTGGGCAAAACCGCTACCCAAGAATGCAGAAAGTCCACTTTCGGTGGATGTTTTGACATTTTAAGGCTGCGTTGTTTACTGGAAAAAACTGGGGAAAAAAAGTGACATAGTGCAAATGAACACGAGGCGTGACAACTCTTGAACTTAAACCAGGGTCTCATGGTCTCAAGAGGGTTAAGAGAGAGACCTAACCTCGTTCCCAGGACCCTCTTCCACTCGTCCCCCGGAGCGATTAGGAGTAGGAGAGGACCCTAGGGACGAGGTTAGTTTTCCTGTTCTTCTTTACATTCAGGAAATAAGCTTTTGCATTATTTTCTTTAAGTCATTTGTAATCTATAAATCAGTGATAAATCAAGAGTCATTTTTCAGGCTTAAAGCAATTTATTTTGGTATTTTCATTTTAATTTGATTTAACATTTTGTGAACAAATAAAGCGCTCTTCACAATATAATGATCACAAGCGCTTTACAATTTTAAACTTAAACCTAAGAAACGGAAAAATGAAAATAATATTTACATGGACACTATACAACCATTATTCATAAACCGTGACTCTTCAGTGAAGTCCATTGTTACGTTTTTATGTCAGCCAATAAGACACTCAATTCATTTACTGTTAAACAGTAGAGGGTGTCAATGATCACAGGCAGCCTAAGTGTACTATGTGTGGATTCGGGCCTTCAGAGGTCATTTGGTGGGAATATACTAGTATGATAAGTGTAACATCTGATGCCAAATAAATGCAAAAATCTTAAATATATAGGGTCGGTTATTCAAAACTAATTGTTTAAAAATCGTTTATTTTAAGAGGACAAATGCCTACGCCATATGCTTATTTTTACATAAAAGCGTTCGGCAAACTGAAAACCAAAACTAACTGGCCCATAAAGTCTCCTTGGTCAAAATAGTGTCCAAAAACGAAAGTCGATATTTCCATTAATTTTTATGGTCGACCAAAATTCGAATCTACAACGTTAAGAAAAAAAAATCATGATCACGCGAAATGTTGATTCAAAAAGCTCCCCTACCTTTAGTTCATAGCCACTCTGTGTCCTCCGGCCGGTTTAAACGCAGTTTAGTCGACTTTCTTGTCATCGAGTACTGAGTAAGAGAGCATTTATTTGGCATCAGATATTACACTTATCATACTAGTATATTCCCACCAAATGACCTCTGAAGGCCCGAATCCACACATAGTACGCTTAGGCAACAACAACAACAACAACATAAGCTTTATTTGCATGACTATAATTATGTAGTTACAGCATTGCAAAAGCTTTAATACAAAAAAAAAAACAAACAAACAAACAAACAAACAAACAAATCATAACAATGATAATGCAATGATGACTAATCAAGTGTCATCAGCATGACTTGATAACAAATTATTACGTAAATCATTACATAATGACCAACAAATGTGAATTTACGGAAAAATTCTGTGAATTCATCAATTTAATTGTTAATTCTGTGTAAGATAGCTGATCAAAATCGACAAAATTTTGTTGGATTTGATCGTAGAATTTCTCCTTGGGATTGCAATGGAAGAGAAATGAAATTCGTCTTCAGGCTGCCTCTATCGTTGCGGGAAGTTTGATTATATCTTCCAATTGACACCCTCTTTCCTATTCTTTCTAATTTTAACAGTTTCTTAAATGAATTGAATATGCAATATATTTTTGTTTTATTATATCTTATTGTTTGATCTGACGTAAAAAATCGGGAGGTAACAATATTTTCATAAAATTATTGTAAAAGCTTTTTTACCATTACTGAAGAGTCACGGTTTATGTTTAACAGTAAATGAATTGAGTTCTTATTTGCTGACATAAAAACGTAACGATATAGTTGTCCATGTAAATATTACTTTCATTTTAACCGTCAACCGTAAAAATTGGAAAACATTAACCGTCAACCGTCAAAGCTACCACCCCATTGAGACCCACAGTAGAGTGCCTTAAATTCGGTTCACGTAGCTGTCATCAGAGATATGAACTCGTTATCCAGGTCTGTAGTTTTGGCTCTTTTCTTTCCAAGGTCAATTGGTATTCATCTGTGTTGAAAAATCGCCTGTTGTCAATTCCCTGAATCCTTATCGGGACAGCTGTTAGGAAGTTGACTGAATAAAGACAAACGATAATGTTACTAATAAAAATAATGCTCTAATGAGGCCTTATAAGACTTATAATTAAACGACCTTAAACTTCTGATTAAAAAATAAAATTACAATCCAAGCTTTCGCCATCAACGGCATGATGACGATGATGCCATTGATCAGCGAAAGCCTGGATTGTATACTTTTAATTTATTTTTTAGTCAGTAGTTTAAGGCCTCATTAGAGCATTATATTTTTATTTTTAACCAAGCTGCTGAGGGACAACTTGAATATATGTTGCATTTATTTTTTTATTTCAGGTAATTTTTGTTTTACTTCAAATTTGGTAAAAATAACTCAATAACTCTGCATTAAACAACTAAATGGCAAACACACTAACCCTATTTACATCTAGAAACTCTAAGAGTGTATAATTCATTCTCTGAAAACTGTAAAAATTCAAACAAAAAACCAGCATACGGACGCCATTTGGGGTAACCGAACTAGTCAGTTATGCGCACGCTTGAGTCGTGTGAAAAGGTCGTAGGTCAATAAGCAGATAAAAAATTTATTTTGTTTTTAGATTTGCCCGTAACACTTAGCTCGGGTAAAAGAAAAGTGTTTGCATGATCAATAAATGACAATTTTGTGCTGCGAAACTAGTCAAAAGTCCAAATTATGCTAGCAGTGGTTTTTTCCCCGGCTTTTTGGGGGAATGAAAACGCTCGTTATGACGAATTGTGTCAAAAATTATGCTAGCAAAATCTATCAAAGCCTACTTTCTTGGGTTGATTAAAAAAGGTACGTAAGACCTTGGA